GGTTTGGGTTTGATCTCTTGTGGATGGGCGTCTGATGGAAACAGTATTTTCACTGGTGTTTCTGATAAAAGCATTAGCATGTGGGATTTAGATGGTAAGGAGTTAGAGTGTTGGAAAGGACAAAGGACTATTAGGATATCAGATATTGGGATCACTTCTGATGGGAAACAGATCATTTCTGTTTGTAAAGAAAATGAGATAGTCATGTTTGGATGGGAATCCAAAGATGAGAGATTTCTTGTGGAAGATGAATGTATAACCTCATTTGTATTGTCAAGAGACAATAAGAACATTCTGGTCAGTCTTTCTAACCAAGAGATTCACCTTTGGAATATAGATGGGAGTATGAAGTGTATAGCCAAATATAAGGGTCACAAGCGCATTCGCTTTGTACTGAGGTCTTGTTTTGGTGGACTTAATCAAGCATTCATTGCTAGTGGAAGTGAAGACTCACAGGTAGGTAGCTTCTTTTCTTCGCAATCAGACACTTTTTTTCACTACCTTATTATCTCCCCATTATTGCTTGCATGCATTGTAGGAGTAAGACTTTCAATATTTGTGGGGGTTTACTATCTTCTTACTTGATCTGATTGTGTAGACGTGCTTGGTAATACCCCCTCAGTCCCAAAAAATTGTCAAATCTTGAAAGAATAGAAAAGGTAGAAGACACCATTTTTTTATCCCTTTAATATTGATTCTGGAAATTGTGCATTTACTATTGAGAATCATCATCTAATAATTTTATCGACTATTTAAAAATTAAGATAAAGTGAGAATGAATGTGTGAACTACACAAATATGATCAAATATGTTCTGTGGAAAAAATAGTAAGATGGACAAAAAAGGTAAAAAGGGTAAAAATGGAGGAAAGAGGGAGTGTTAATTAATGATAATTGTGAGCTTCTCCATTGGCTTGAGTGGTAGGATGTCCACTCCCCAAGATTCATGGGAAAGCTCACTAGGTTTGATTTCCTAGTAGAGGAGGCATTAACTCACTATGCATCATTAGGTTAAGAAAGTTTGGACATATACTACATTGCAATAGAGTCAATATCACTCAAAAAAGATTAATGATAATTGTTGGAACATGCAACACACAATTTCTGAGTTGCAATAAATGGAGATATGGAATAATTCCAAAGTGACATTGAGAAGTATTATGGGACATAAACAAGTCAAAAATTTTACACTTTCAAGGATGGAGAGGGTTGTAATTTTTTTGGTGGTTTAAATGGGGAAAATGAAATTTAAGGGCGACAAGGTAGTCATAAGCACCTTTTTAAAGGGAAACTGTAATAATAGGAATCACTGTCGTAATGCTTCAAATAAAATATTTTTTAAAAATGACCCTTTTAGGCACTTAACTTAATTTGATAGGCTGTTTACTAAATTTTTTTTTTAGCTTGTTGAGATGGTGGAACTGCTAATTTGGTCTCAAAAGCTCTTAAATATCCTCTTCATTTACCTCTTTGAAAAAATCACTGCCTAGGCTCCACGACAGACTCCAGTCAGGTGCTAGGTACTGCCTGCTTAGCAACTTTTAAAACAACTGTTTTACATCCATCTTTGTTTGTTATCTTATGCTCCGTACATTAAGGGCCTGTTTGGTTAAAGTATCTTGTCAAAGGGGAAGTGTTTTATAATATCTTGTTCAACCGAGTAAGTCAAATGCTACATGCTCTTTGGAAAGTCAAAACAAACCACATTTGGCTACCAAAAGGGAGCCTAAATCCAAAAATGAATGTAGTGGTCCTGAAAAAAAGAGACATGTTGACTTTTTTGGCCAGGTTTATATTTGGCATAGAGGGTCTGGAGAACTTGTTGGGACATTAGCAGGACACTCTGGGACAGTGAACTGCGTGAGCTGGAATCCGGTGAACCATCATATGCTGGCCTCTGCTAGTGACGACCGTACAATTCGCGTGTGGGGATTGAATCAGGTAAACATGATGAAACCTAACAATGCCAATAATGGCATTGTTAGAAATGGCGTCCTCCACTATTGCAACGGTGGAACCTCAAAGCATTGATCTGATGTCTCATGTTATTGTTACCAACAAAAAAAAGTCTTTCCCAAACCATTTGCTCTTGTGTAAATTCTTTTACAACTTTATGTCATGCTGACATTTACATCAAAAACCAGACTCCGAAGAATGTGAAAATCTGCTTTTCCCTTCAGTAATAAACATGTACTATTGATTCTCTGTTCTTTATGCTCTTCACTTTTAGTATATCAGTTACTGCCTCAGCTCCTATGAGTTTGTGTTAGTATGGTTGAATGTGTTTTATTTTAGGCAAATACTTCCATGGTCCTTAGGCCCATTCCAACCCTACAGACCTTGCCGATAAGGACTCCTTAGTATTAATATTAGTATTAGTATTATGATTAGGATTAGGGGATTGGGATTAGGGGATTAGGATTAGCATTAGGCACATTAGCTTGGGTGAAACATGCCTTTTTCTGACATTAGTTTTTAAGCCCAACAACTTTTGTGAGAAGGTCCAGGAATTAAGTGTGGACCTTAGGTGTACGGAATCACTACTCTGTATTTTATGGAAGGCATTGAAGTATGTGTTATATATAGCATAAGGGTCTATATTTATAAACTGAAGGAAAATGCTAAAGCCACTTTCCACTTTTAGTCTGAGGCCGAGGGGGGGGGTCTGTGGAGGACGGATTGTGAATCTTAATGAACTTTTAAATGAACTGAATATGAATCTTAACGAATACAAATATTAATCCTGAATATTCGATTTGATTCATTTACAACCCTAGGCGACATGTCTCATTGGTTGGCAATGCATGATGATTTGTCAGATTTAATGGTGTGACCTAGCAAATTGGTGGTAAGCGATTGATGCATTATGTTAAAAGTCTTCTCGACAAATGGAAGACGGACGACGTGTCCCGTAGGGTTACGATTTGCAAGATGACGGCATAAAATGTGAAGAGGAACAAAAACATAAGGATTCAATCTAACTCATTAGTATGAGAAATTAAGTTTGATCCAAAATGAATAGTACGGAGTATCACACTAATGCGAGATCAGAATGAAGGTATACGAAGTCCCAACATTTAGTTGGTTTAAAGATGATTATTGGTTATACCCATTGAAGTTGGTCAAGTGTTTATCATCTAATGTTTTTTTTCTTAATTTGAAGTTTTATGTAAATTTTGGGGTGCATTTATTATGATTATGTTTCGCACTTTTTTATCATTCTTGATCGGACATTTTATCTTACCTATTAGACAATAAAAAGAAAATCCATGTTTGTTTTCACTAAATGTTGAGGCAACATGTCATTGATGCCCCATGCTTTGTGTAATAAATTTTCATTATAACCATGATTCAAACTTAAATCTACTCTTATATTTCTTCCGTCTCTAAAAATGTTCCTGTTTTATTTTTTGTGAATCTCAAAAAACATTCTACCCACATCTAAACTACCTAAAAGTTACCACAATTTTTCTTTATTATAGGTAGAAGTTGTTTTGAAATTTTTTTTGGCATTTAAGGTAGGATAGAATTGTTTTATGGGATGTGCAAAAAATGAAACGGGAACATCTTTTTGGGACGGAGGGAGTAGTCTTTAAGTCATATAAAAAGGTTTTACAATTTTGTTGTCCTGAAAATGGTTCTATTTTCTAATTTAAGAAAAAGTATTATGGTTCTTTAAATTGTTATCTCTTTTATACTACTTTAACCTCATAATTTTAATTTTTTAATTTTTTTATGTCAGGTTAAAGATAACACTTTTTTTTGGAGAGAGAGGGAATAACACTCAATAAATCGATTGTCGATAGGTGACAAATCTTTATGAATATTGTGAAACAAAAACTACAACAATATGTAAATGCGGGTGTTTTTTTTTCTATAAACAAATTTACAGATTTATGTTTTATTCATGATGTAAAATTTAGGCTTTGCTCCATCTATTTCAAAATAAGATTTTTGTTTATTATTTATATGGTCAAATTATATTTCTTTCTTACACATTTTCATTAATCATTTGATATACCCCGTAATAAAATAATCAAAACCACCACTTATGTTATACGGAGTAGAAGTTCTGGTGAAAACTTTTAATATATTATTTTATTTTTTAATTCAACATTAATTTTAAGATACTACATTTGTCCCAAATAAACTAATACATTTTATTTTTCTTTATTTAAGAAAATTATTGAAAAATAAAACTCACATTAAATTTGTTTAGAAAATCCGATTTGACTTTAATAAAAATAAATTTTAATAGGAATAATTAATAAGTTGAACGAAACAGACCATAAAATTTGCACAGACACACGTAGATACTTAATGTTTGTAAGTGGCTATGTGTATTTATGTAAGTCTTGATATCAAATGCTTGTGTAACTCAAGATTAACTAGTATTCTCTCTCTTGAAATATTCTTTTCATGCACTATTCACACATTTACACTTATTCAATTTCTTTACTTATTTTTAATAATAAGCTCATAATATCACCTTTTGTTTTGTAGAATATTTTATACGAGTATACTTTTTATATAGTCATTTGTTTTTTAAATTTTAATCTTATAATCAATTAAATTAAATTAAATTAAAAAGAATTTTATTCAAAGCTCCTATCACTATGTTTGGTTCAAGGAATTTCGAAGGAAAAGAAATGAAAATGATTTTCTCTCAATTTCCTCACCAAAATGAGAGGAATTTGGTTTTCCCTTCTCTTAGTATATTTTGCCTTCTCATTTTCTTTTTCTTCCACTTTTCCTTTATTTTCTTCTCTAACCAAACAATGAAACCTATTTTCCACTTCATTTTCTTTTCTTTTCCCTTTCAAATTCCTTGAACCTGTAAAAGTAAAAGGTAGAAAAAGAATCGCAAGAGAAGGGAGTATCATTACTCTGAGTAGTTAGTACATTACCAATGGGAAATGTGTACGTTCCGTTATTCCACTGGCAGCTGCCCACCCAATCACCAGTCACCATTCACTCCCTGGTTAAATCACGTGTTTAGCCAGCCCCATTTATTTACCCACCACACATTTCTTCTTCTTCTTCAATTCACTCTCTGGGTTGCCTTCAATCTTCTGGTTTGCTTTCTCCACTCATTTCTTTCTTGTTTGATTTGTTTTGTAAAGCCCAGCACAGGGTATTTTGTCAGTTATTTGTCATTCAAATAAACACCCCAAGAACTATTTGTCTGATTCTATTTTGATCCACAAGATTTTCTATTTCTCCTGTAAAGTTGGCATGGGTCTATCGAGAAACCACTTTTTTGCTCCAATTTTGTAACTCTTTTTGTTTGATTCGGATAGTGGTTTCATCTGGTTTTTCAAGAAAACTTATCGTTTTACTTTACTCCACATGTTCAGTTAAATTTCCAATCTTTAAGAATCTCTGAAGAATTTTCTGATTCTTTTGACTGAAGGAAAAGAAGAAGAGTAAACCCTTTTCACTTATGATATCATTTTTCTTTATAAGCTGCATCTAGAAGGTCAAGTTTTTTTTAGAAAAAAATAGAGAACAATTAAAAGGTTGTTTCTTTAATGTAGGAAAAATGCCAGAAGGAATCACAGCAGAGGCTCTCTTGAACAACATGATGGAGTCATTTGCAGACAGTGTACCGAAGCAAAAAACTGTGTCATTCTTTGAAGAGGAGAAATCAAGAAAAGTCACTGAGCATTTCAATAGGCTCTTCGGTCGCCAGAAGCCAGTGCACCATGTTCTTGGAGGAGGCAGATGTAGCTCCAATTCTTACTTAACTTCCATTAATTCTTTTCCTATTTTTGTCATCAATAAATAAAAAAATTGCTGTAATTCTGAAAATGCTATTAATTCAGCTGCTGATGTGCTGCTATGGAGGAACAAGAAAATCTCAGCCAGTGTTTTGGCTTCTGCTACAATCATGTGGTTGCTTTTTGAGTGGCTTGACTATCACTTGCTCACCCTTGTTTGCTTTGCTTTGGTTCTTGGAATGTTTCTTCAGTTTCTCTGGACTCACACTTCTGGCCTGGTGACCAGGTATAGAGCAACCCTTGTATGGCTTGTTTGGTGAAAGATGAAAACTGTTATATATTTTAGTGTAATTGGAAAAACTACGACCAATGGTATCCTAATAATCATCAAAGAAGTTTGGTGGTGCGGAGTGCATGCTTCATTGAGTTTGTTACGATAAAAAACCCGTTACACCGGGGGTTCCAAGGGGGCAGCGCCCCCAAGCAGGCTTCAAGGGGCGGCAGCCCCTGCGGGGTCCAAGGGGCAGAGCCCCTGGCTGGGGTCGAGATGAATAGGACCGAATTTTGAAGAAGAACCGAATTTTGAATAGGACCGAATTTTGAATAGCACCAAATTTTGGGCTCGGTGCTATGTTAAAAAATTCAATTAGAATTTTAATTTCGAATTTTCTTTAAAAGAAAAATTCTGATGGATAGGACCGAATTTTGAAGCAGAACTTCCGCGCGAAGAGTTGCGTGCTTTGGGTAATAGCCACGAATGGTGTCTTCTCCTTCTCACCCCTAGTCTATAAAATCCCACTGGGCATGGTCGAATTTCGTTCGGATTTTTTACAGCAATTCTCATATTTTCGTTCTAGATACTTTCGAGTTTTATCCGATTGAATTTTGTAGTGAACAACCAAAATATTCAATCTGAAAGTGTTTACACAACTCTCGATTCATCCAAGTTATCGTTAATTTCCCCAACAAAAACTTTAATCATTGTTACAGGCTTTTGGTAAAATTAAACCAGCTTGATTTTTTCAATCGCGCCGTGTTCGTTTTTGTTGGAGTATAGAATATTTTCTGTGCTTACGATCACAAGCTTTGGCTTTAGTTTTTGGTTGGATTGGAATCCGAGCAATCATTGTTGATCTAGTAGACCTTTAGTGGCAGTGATGAACATACAATTGCAACAGGTCTCCATCACAGGTCCCCCGAGTCGTTCTTCCGGAAGAAGTTTTTGTAAACCTTGCAAAGATGATTGGCTCTGAAGTGAACCGCGGTTTGGGATTCCTTCAAGACCTCGCCTGCGGAGGGACGTCTAAGCAGTTCCTAATTGTATGTGTTTTTTTTTGGAAGGGCAGCAATGTCCTCTATATTTCCCTTGTTTTTTTTTGCTTATCAAATGATAAAATGTTATTAGGGATTTGAACTTTCTTTGTTTGGTAAATGATTCTCTAGGCTGTGGCATGCTTGTTGGCTACTGCTGTCATTGGAACCTGGTGCAACTTTCTGACTGTTGTATACATTGGTAAGGGAAATACCAACTTTCTTGATGCATTCACGAATGGATGAATGTAGACACGACGTATGTCTACATTCGTTCAACTTTTGATGCCTTTCCCGCTTTGAAAACTGGTACAGGTTTCGTTGGCGCGCACACACTGCCAGTTCTATATGAGAGATATGAAGATGAAGTGGACAACTTTGCATATAGCGTCTTTGACCGGCTACACCACAATTACAGGAAGCTGGATTCTGGGTTTCTCAGCAGAATCCCAAAGGGCAAATTCAAAGTGAAGAAGCACGAGTAATAGTAGTAGCATAAGCCTTCATTTTCCCTCCCCATTTCACTATTATTATTATTATGTGCACTTGATTGCATATGTTAAGACATTTAATTTAATATCCCCATCTATTAATTCCCATGAATATTAGAAACTTCATGAGTTAATGTTTATTTATATTTATCAGAATTAATAGGTGTAATCTTTGTTCAAGGTTGGCTACTTTTTTGACAAAGTAGAATCTTTATTAGTATTTGTTGGGAGAGGTTTTTGGTTTAGATGTTTAGATATTACAGCTTTCAAGGGTGATATAATATTTTGTCAATTACGGAGTACTTATTAGGTGGTTTCTAACCAGCTATCAATATAGAAATATTTTAACTTAAGAAAATGGTTAAAATTTGGTGGAATATATTTCTTATTTTCCAACTGAAATTAGGGCTCGTTTGGCAACAATGTTACCTTTGAATGTTGGCATTTTGAAGAGATTATCCCATGGCCGCCCTGTGGTGTTTTGAAGTTAATTTGTTTTGTTAAAATATTATCTAAAACGCACAAACTGAAAAAGTTTTCCCCAAACAAAGTCTAAGAAATCATACTCTCAACGGTAGATCAATTTGCAATATGTATATACACATACCAAATCATCTCCATGGTGTCAAAACCTTAAAATATTCATACATTGTACTAAAAACTGAAATGTACCATCAAGACTACATAGAAATACATGATGTGTAGCCAAGCACATACTCCATATAAGAAAATTTATTCATAGTAATTCACTAATAAACTAATCTGTAGTCATCAATAAATTAGAAATGTCTGTCTCTTGTATAGTGAGAATGATAACTCAGCAATGTGAGATACTCTAAAGAACACATGACATTACAAATTACAAGCGGCATTTTTGGTCGAAGTAATCGCATCCTTGATAGACTTCTAGGCCATGGTGGTGGTCGAGTTCGTCTTTCTTGTAGCATGCACAACGCTTGCTCATTTTCCCCGTTATGGCTATTTCTATGGGTCGTTGAACCAATCTCGGGTAACCCTCGTCACACCAAACCTGAGAAAAGTTATTCAAAACCAACATTTGATCCGAAACACTTCTACAAGAAGTCAAGAATGCCGCATGGGAAACACAAAATAAATGTATTACTTTAAGAGTGTCTAACACGCTTTATGAAAGTGACGAACCCATTAATGTAAGGGTAAAATGGTTACTTTGTAGGGTTGAGATTTAGGAGTGTCTAACACGCTTTATGAACGTGTCCTATGTGCAGAGGAAGATGCTCAGTTGTTAAATGATCTACGACTAGCTGGAAATTTCGAGCAAAAAAATTTCCAATTATATGCAGTGGCGGTGGGCAAAAACAAAGCCTCTAATTTCTTTATCACTGTTTGGTTCAAGTAATTTGGGAGGGAAAGGAAAAGAAAATGAGAAAGAAAGCGTTTTTCTTGTTTGGTTAGAGAGGAAAAGAAAAGAAAATGAAAAGGCAAAATGTACTAAGAGGAGGAAAAACCAAATTCCTCCCATTTTTGGTGAGGAAAATGTGGGAAAACTATTTTCATTTCTTTTCGTTTCAAATTCCTTGAACCAAACATAGTGTAAAGGATTTTAGTTTAGAAATGGGAAATTTAGGCTTTGGGGTGAAGCACAGCTAATTAGTAGAATAGTAGGTATGACTTATGAGTAGGAAGCTGGTATTAGGGGCGTGTTTGCCATCTCAACAAATTAACAACCTTAATTACGTTTTAGGACCAGTTGCAAAAGAAAATATTGTGCGAGGAAAAATTAATTAAAAAGAACAACTATAGGGACGAAAACCAAAACTCACCATTTTTATAGGGATGACAAACATATTTTTTTTCCTAGAAAGAATAAAAGGGCATCGATTTGCTTTAGTTTTTAGTGTGATTCAACTTAACTGTCTTAGAGTCTTGTTGAGTGATTTCTACTCGATCTTAAATTCTATCAAAAGGAAAATAATATGTAACTAACGTTTAGTTTGATAGTTTATCTTCAAAACCGTATTATCATTAAAACTAAAGTGAACCAAAATAGCACACCCAAAATATACCCCCAACTAGAACAAATAGAAAGACCCAAACCAAACTAGGTTTGGTTTGAAATCGGCATTCATTTCTCCAAACATTGCAAAACAAGAAACTGTAAACCAAAAACAACCAAGCCTGAAATGCACAACTAGGAATCTTTATGGGACGTGGGTAGCAATAAAATTAAATTACCTCAGAGCCCTCATCTTGACTCCACTTGGAATTGCAGCTAGGAATCTTCTCTTCTTCAATCTTTTGTTTCTCAAGCAGTTGTGCGCCTCTAGCAGCCTTTGCTTCGGCTCCTTTTAAATTCTTTGTAGGGTTCCCGTCACTGTCATAGTAGCGGCCCACTAGCTTTCCAACAAATCTGAATTTAAAGAAATCTGTATTTTAGCATTTATGACCTCTTCGCATCTGATATATATGAATCAAAGCCAAATGTAAGGTAAAGAAAGCAGAAAACTTTTTAAAAAAAAGAACTGAAAAAGAATGGCTCACGTGTATGTTTTGAAGTAGAAATCCCTCCATTCAACAATGCTTTTAACCTACAAGATAAACCATTGCAAGCATGAGCTTTTAGAACCACAAACACTTGGATCAACAGTCATTTTTGGTGTTTGGACACCACATGTTCAGGAAATGATTTGTTCCAAATTCGATGTGAAATTAGTACTCCATACAGCATAACTACAATGCCCATACTAGTAATAATGTCTAAAGACAATAAAGCATTAACAGATGAAGAAATATGCTGACATTCAATTGAGATTTGAGATGAACTTTTGGTCTGAGGCACACATCTTTCATACCTCAGTGCTGGATAAGTTACGCAACGAGTCAGTAAGTCCATCTCCTGCATTAATATGAAGTAAAAGTACTCATTAATAGATAATACAAAGGTTAAAAAAACTCCATCCACCCCAAAATAAACTTCATTGTCTGACTTCACTGAGTTTAATAAAAGTGGTGAAAAATGAAAAGTGTATGGTGAGAATTTGTTTAGAAGAATGAGAAATTATGTGAGCAACAAATTTCTTTCTTTAAAAGGAAATAAGTAAAGTGTGAGGTATATTTTGGGACGGACCAAATAGGAACGTGTTAAGTTTATTATGGGACGGAGGGAGTAATTGTCAATGTTATAATCTTCAAGACTCCTTATTTCATATTATGATTATAACCACTTCCTACAGATTCTTTACTTTTTCTCTAGTCGCTTTGATGAGCGAAATGCTATAGCACCCATTATGGAAGTATTGGCACCCATTCCTTAGCTATAGAGGGAAAAAAGAACAGAAAATGAAGAAACACATAGGATTACCTGTAAAGTTTCCTGAAACAAATGCCCGAGAAGCGTCCCTATAAGAACAGAGAACAGTTCATGTTAATTGACAAGAAGAAAGTAGCCTCGCCAATACTTAAATTATACAACAACAACAACAAACCCAGTAAAATCTTACAAAAAATAGGGTCTGTGAAGTGCGTGTGCACAACCTTACCCCTACTCGAGAATAAAGATTGTTTCCAGACAAAGTAATGTTTTTTTGTGGCCAATACTTTAGTTATCAGATCAACAATACACCCACAAGAAAAATCTGGTTTTAAAATGCACAAATTCAACAGAAAGATGAAATCTTTAAAGACTATAATCACAAAAGATTAATACAAACAAAACACCAAAACTGAATCTATACAATACCAAGCCAACAGAAGGAGTGAATCAAAGGGCATACCTTCCTGCAAAATGATTGTAACTACCCCCAACACAATAGTGATTCTTTCCTTTGGTCACATCAAATACAGACCTGTTTATATCCATTCACCCATTTTTTTTACACAACAACAACAACCCAGTATAATCCCAGAAAAGCAGGGAGAAAGAAAAAAAAAGAATCTGAATAAAATTGAACAGAGAGAAAGAAAGTACCCAATAATGGAAAGAAGAATGGGCAAGTTCGGGTCGGAGCCATTGTAAAGAGCTAGCTGCTCCGGGACGAACAGTCTCTGTAATTAAGATTTAAAAAAATGAAAAATATACAAATGGGATTTCGGGAAAGGCTTCTGCTTTGGAGAAGAAGATAATAAAAAAACAAGAATATGGTTCAAATAGCAAGAAACAGAGGGTAATTACTTACCGGCGCAGGGGGGCGAGAGCTGGATGGATGATTAAGAGGGAAGAAATTGAAGAGAATGAAAGAGAGAAGAAGAACTGCGAGAGGGAATATTGATAGGGCCGGCGACAACCGCATTGCTTTCTTGGATTCAGCTGCGGTTTCACTTTGATCTTCATTCTCAGATCCCACAACGGCGCAAGTCAACCAACATCTCACCTCTTTGTTCACAGTCTGCCTTCTACCAGGTGTGTTTCTCATTTTTTTATTCCCAACTCCCACTCTCAATATATCACTATCCGTTGACGAAATATATATCTCTATTTGTTTTAAATGAATATTATCTGTATCTGATTAAGGATATCTGATTCCTAACGAATACGGATTTAATGATTGTATATCCGATCGGTTTAAAATCCAATCCGAATATGCATCCATTTAAATAACCGTTTATCTAAATATCCGATCCGTTATATATAGTTTTTCCAAATTTTTTATGTTTATATTTTGTTTCTCTATTGATATTTTAAAGTATAAAACATTTTTATGCACAAAATAAATGTGTAGAACATAAAAATATGTGCAACATTTAAAAAAATGTGTATATATGTGCTGTGTATATCTTTTTATCATATAAAGTTATTGTACAATATCAAAAATCATGAAAACAAAGAAAATAATTGTCCCATAACAAATTATAGTTGATTTAATAATAGTTTGACTTTAATCTAATTTCAAATTAAAGTATTGTTAAATTTGATTTTAAAAATTAGAAACGGATACGGATATATCCGATATCCAACTGATATCCGACGGAGCGCGGATACGGTTTTGATTTTCAGTATCCGTCAAGATCCGTATCCGAATTCGATATCCAAAAAAATAACGGATACGGATTTGGTAATGACACATCCGTTCCGATTAATATCCGTTTACACCCCTACTTCCTCCCAAATTAATTTTTTTGTTGCTATTCACATAATCAAACTCATTCACTATCTTTCTCTTATTTTATTATTCATTAATAAAATAATATAGTCATGTAGTTCTTGTTTCATAGAACTTTTGATATAGTTTATATATATGTAAATTCCATTTTTTATTCTACCTCAATTCTCAAATAAATTGTATTAAAAATAAATTCAGTCAAACATCGTAAACCAAAATAAATAATCGATTTAAATGGGAACAGAGGGAATACGTATTTTGGACCGCCCATTTCATTCTGTTATAATCTTTCTTTCCCAAAATAAGTTCATGTTTGGTTTATAATGTTGATTGAAGTTGGTTTCAATTCACTATAATTAAAAATTGGTGTAATATTAAAAAAATAAAAATATATATTAAAATTTACATCAAAAGTTCCACAAAGAATATGGTGACAATATTATTTTGTTTTTATAAAATAATGGATGAAAATATAGTAAAAAAATTAAAGTTAATTTTACCTATGAATGGTAACTAAAAGGAAAAAATATACTCCGTAAAATTTATTTTTGACCGAATGAGTACCCTAGAGTTACACCAACCTTATCAACAAAATTTCACCCCGCATATACTATTACCATAAATTTATTATCCAATCACATAGACAATCATAGTCGGTAAAGATTTAAACTTTTGACCTATAATAAAATAAAATATATATTTTATATTAATTAGATAAATTAACATATTAGAATGTGTCAAATGAAATGTTTGAGTACAGTATTGATATTAGTTTTATGTTGAGAATTGATTAAATATTCAAAAAGAAAAAAAAGAGGAGGAAAAGGCTACAAAGCAAAAAAGGTGAGATAGATGCATTGAATGTAAGGTGGGATAGATGCAATGAATGTAGAATTAAACTAGGGGTACACCAACATGGGGTACCTCAAATGTACACCGAGCCAACATATACACACACAGACACAAAGTGTTGTGTTGCACAGACATTTTGTGTCTGTGTGTCTGTGTTGGCTTAGTGTACACTTGGGGTACCCCATGTTGGTGTACCCCTAGCATTGCCCAGGAATGTATTCTGACTATTCTATTCTCATTGTAATTTTTCCTTGCGTGCCTGCCTGCCTATTCAAGAGAAACAGAAGGTTCTACACACAAAAATCGAATGAGTCCAGAGTCCTTGGGTGAGTACGGGAAGCAACTCATTTTTTAGTTACTCAGAAAGTTTGTTTATGAGTATTTAGAATTTAGCTTTACAAACATAAGGAGAATTTTTACATATTATCTTGAAACAATGAAAATATAATTGTTTTTCTCTCATATATCGTTCTTGTGTCGTACTCTCATTTTTCTGGTGTTCTCAATTTTTTTCGATATCTTACGCGCTTATAATCCCAACATTTTAAACTTTTCAGCATAAATCGAAACACAGATAAAATATGTGAATTTTTCAAAACATGAAAATTTGGCATTTTTCACGTCCACTATAATGGTAATTATGGTATAGCCTCTAGGTACCAAAAGTTTTGGTCCGAGATCAGCTTCATTTGACATCATATGTGAGCGGGTTGAACATCTTAAAGAACAAATTAAAGTAGCGTTCAATTAAAATCCAACACTTTATTTACCAAGTAGTTATTTAGTAGACAAATGCTTATAACTAGTGTAGTTATTTAGTAGCTACAAATGGATTTCCTTGGAATGAACCAAGCTAGCTAGTAGCATTGAGGGGGCAACCTGGGTGCAAGAACCACTTCGAGAGGCGCGGCTTTGGGCATGACTAGCCCCGGGCTCTCGGTCATGTCTACCTCCGAGTCCATTTCGGTTCCGAGCTCAAAACCGTGGAGTAGCTTAGCCAGAACCAAATGCAAAACTTGCATCGCGAACGACACCCCGGGGCACATCCTCCTCCCCGAGCTAAACGGGATGAATTCGAAGTCGCGCCCCCTCACGTCCAAGCTCTTGTGATCCGTCAAGAATCTAAACATCAATAAAGAAAATGATATGGTTTAGAACGGGGAAATGGTTACTGGATTGGACCATAAGACACTTGGGCTGAACCACATTAAAAAACAGAATCTAATCGGTTACTTAGTCCAACTCAAAAGCTGCTTATATACTCATTACTTTTCTCTTCAAGAAACAGACAAAAATAGTGGACAGAACCTCACCTCTCGGGGCGAAACTCGGAGGGGTGGGACCAAACTCTGGGGTCGCGGTGCAGCTTCCAGAGGTTGACGAAGAGGCGAGTGCCGGCAGGGACATGGAAACCGCTCAGGGTGAAGTCCTCCATGGCTTCCCGAGGGCCGGAGAGCGGGGCGGGGGGGCGGAGGCGGAGGGTCTCCTTGATCACGGCATTCAGGTAGACCAGTTTCGGGATGTCGGAGGCGTCCGCCTGGCGGTGCAGTCCCACGTGGAGCTCCAGCTCGTCTTGCGCCTTCCTCAGAGCCTCTCTGTCGTTGAGGAGATGAGACAGTGCCCATATTATTGTCGAAACCCCCCGTGTCTGTCGCTCCTAAGAACAAACTCTGCCACCCACAAAGTCGTTTCTAAAATGACTTAACGATGTTTTTATACCAAAATAAGACTTATAATATAATACAATTTGCGTACCAAGCAATTGGCCTTGATGAGAGTGTCAATGTGACCATGATTGGTATTTTCTTCAAAGGAAGACAACATGACATCTATGGTGCAGTGATCATCGGCATCGCCGTCAATCTTATGTTGTCGCCGGCTTTTCACCCAATTCCCCAACACTTCGTCCAACTCCTTTGCCGTCTTCTTCATTCTACCTGTGTAATGTAATTAGACACGGAAGGAGTATAATATTGATGTTCAATGTCAAAAGAATTAACTCCAAATAACATATTGCTACCAACATTGAAATCAGGTCCCCGTTTCTACTACTCCTCCTTCTCAACTTAATCTTTTTAGTTATAATTCATTGGTCAAACTAATTTTATTTTATTTATATTTTATTTGATTATTTGGTAAAACAAAATAACTTTGCTATCAATTGTTTTGTAGATTTTTTATGGGGTAAAAAGTAATTTTATCTTGTAATTCTACAACAATTTTTCATTTATATCGATTTGAAAATAACTTCAGCCAAATATTGTAAACTGAACAGGAACCTTGTTTTAAGAGCAATGGAGTATTAAGAAAACAAATATTGGGAGACCTCATTAAATAGGAGCAAGAAAATAAAGAAAACACTAAGGTTCCGTTTGGTATACAAAATTCAAATTATGGAATTAAAATTGAGAACAAATATTTCAATTTTGTTATTTGGTATCACATAAATATGTGGATTTAGAATTGATAGTGCCAAAAATAAATTGAAAATGGAAAATTCAATTTCATCCCAATCAATTCCATCGAATTTCAACTGACATTTCAATTTCGATTCCGTCAACTTTGTGTACGAAACGGACCTAAAGGTGTGGTTGCAAAAACATGGGTCACTTTTATGTGTGTGTATGATTGGCCCTTTTTGGATTGTTGGTGTGCTACACTGCTACCTAACACTCCAATAATAGTCCTTTTTGGACCAGACAACCTTTGGGGCCATAGATTGTTTTAAAGACAATCTGCGGACTACTCTGTATCTGGACCGGAAAATTTATACGTCCAAGTGAAATGTAAATCACTACATTGTCCCATTTTATAACCTCTGTTTTGGTTTACGATGTTTGACTGAAATTATTTTTAAATCATTTTATATAACAAATGGTATATAGTTAAAAAATAAAAATTACATATTAAAATACTATATCAAAAGATCTACAAAACTAGTAGTGACAATAATACTTTATTTTATCAAATTGCTAACGAAAATAGAGAAAGAAAGTGAATAAAGTTTGACCCTGTAAATAGTGAACATGTATTATAATTTCGGACGAAGGGAGTATAATTTTAGAATTAATGAACATTGTTATAATTTTAGATTTTGTAAAAAAAATGACAACTAGAAATAAAATATGGAGAATGTATAAAGTTAAAGGATTCTTGTTTTTTATCTTCTACTTTATCTGTACAAAAAAGTCTTTCAAGTGTCAAAAAAATAATGTCTTGCAATCTCCTTCCCATTTCTATTAAAAAACACTTTTATCCATCATACCTTTTTTAATAATCTACACATCACATCAAGAGTATTTTTGGAAAGTCAACTCAAAATTATTACTCTCTTAATTTGTCTCTTTAGTTAAATATCCCTCTCTTTCTGGGACGGAGAGAGTATTTAAGAATAAAATGTCAATACTATCAATATATATTACCAAAAATATAGTGGGATGCCAATATGTAATGTTAGTACAAACTCCTATTTTTGATAAAAATAGACAATTTTTATTTTGAAGATAAATGTAACTCTATTCCTAGTGTACTTCTGCAGTTTTGACTTCTTGCATTCAAAATTAACAAATTTTGTCAACTAATTAAATAAAATCTACTCCCTACGTTCCATAAAACCCTTCAACTTTCATTTTTTCTATTCCCTAAAATACTTTCACTTTCTATTAAATAACCATTTTTGCCCCTACTTTATTTATATCCTACCTATGACATCATATTTTTTCACTAATAATCGAATTATCACATCTTACTTTTATCTATTAAATCAGGACTAAAATTAGAAAGTCAAAATTGGAAGGGTTTAAAGGAAAGGATGTAATATATTAAATATTTATACAAGAATAATTTTATTTGATTTATCTCATAAAATATTTTCAAAATATTATTTCATTTAATTAATATAACATTTACTCAATAATTTTTATTTTTTTAACTATACTTGGATTGCAAAAAATCATTGGAAAAAGACAAATACGGACAAATATCGGGAGACTTACGGGTTGATCCGTTGACGACATCCAACCATCCGAGCCAAGGAATGAAGTCAGAGAAGAAGAGCTGGCCCGCCAGGTGAAGGAACTCCGCCATGGCAATCTTACCCCTTTTCGACTCCTCCTCCTCCTCAGCGCCGCCGCCCCTTCCGCCGCCGTCACGACCGTATCTCTTCCCCGCAATCGTCCTGACTCCGATGTTCATCATCAAGTCCCCCATCACCTCCTTCATCTCCACCCGGACCGGACCGCCCCCGCCCCTCCCATACAACTCCCTGACCACAGCGTCGATCTCCGCCACGTGGAGAGGGCGCTGGAGGTTGAGCTGGCGGTGGGAGAGGAGCTCGACCACCGCCACCTTCCTCATGTCCCGCCAGTAGGCCCCGTACGGGGCGAACCCGAACATGGCGTGGTCGTAGCCCATGATCTTGGTCGCCAGGGACCAGGGTCTGGTGGCCACGGCCCTGCCGTTGGCGGTGAAGCACTCCCTGACCAGGTCCTGGGAGCTTATGACCAACGCCCGGTGTGACCCGAGCCTGATGGCGAAGGCTGGGCCGTGGGCGTCGGCCATGGCCCCCAGGGCTCGGTGGAGGAGGGTGCTCGCCCCTCCGAGGGCGGGAAGGTGGCCCACGAAAGGCCACGAACCCGAGGGTTCCGGGAGCGCCTTCCCGGGGCATGATGAGCTCTTCTTTCTTGAAGTGTAGAGGTAGTAGTAGATGATTATAGGAAGAGGTAAGAAAAGAGCATAAAGGACAGCGGCAAAGATAGCCATTGATTTGTTTTTGATGAGGCGCTGCAACACTAATCAGGTTTTATAGCATCAGCTATTTACTCTGTTTTATATAGCATCGATAATTGCCTCGGTTTCATTATTGTTTAATTTTGTTATTGTGTAAAAAAGTTTTTAATAATTGTTTATGTATGTCGATAAGACAACCCTTGACAGTTGACACACCTCATAAATTAAATTAAAGAGACAAGGGGCTTAGAGCATCATTAGTCATTCTCCTCCCTTCTTCTTCTACATTATTTACTTTTTAAGATTAAATCACACTCCTTTAATTTTCTCCGCCCTTCTTTAATCATTAATTTACTTTTTTAGTTATTTTTTCATATGCCATATCTTCATTTAGACACAAAAATTTTAAGGGGGGCCCTCAGGGATGGAGCTCCACACACCTCACATCACTTTTGGTCAAAACTCAAGTTTGAATTTACTAATCCGTTTGGCCGGCCACCTACTTTGGCTACTTCTTTCTACCAATGTTATTAAAACCGGACCGGACTGGCCGGTTCAACCGTGACCCAGTCACTTATCCGGTCCGGTTCATAGTTGAAACTCGTTTTTGAGTTGGACCGTCCAGAACCGGGAAAACCGCCGACCCGGACGACCCGGGTAGGACCGGCCGGTTCCTGGGTTTAGGCGAAACCTAAGTCCTGCAACGGGATATATAGCACTTTCAATAATTGTTTAGATAATACATAGTTACCTAAGAATATTCATAATTATTAAATATAGAGAATACTCGATATTATTATCATGATTAGTCTTTATTTATTTTATGAAATTTTAAGTTAGTTCAAAGCTAAAAGTTAAAATATTGATTATAATTTAATGTATTGCATTTCTTAATTTTTCAAAAATTTAAATCAACTAAATATAATTTTTAAAATATTAATAGTATATAAGAACATAATATGTAGTCTTTATGTTTTTGAAAAATGAATACTTCAAAGATATTCACTATTAACTTGTATTCCGCAATAATAATGAAAAATAATAGAATAAAAAACAAAAAGTGTAAAACAGTACAGAATATATGTACAATGAAACTAAAATCTAGATGTAGAAATAAGACAAGTATAAATTATAATAATTTTATTTACTATATATGTCCTCTAATAATATACAGCTAACATAAAATATTATTATTTACATATATTTGACCGGGTCGTTGACCCCTGAGTTGACCGGTTCGACCGGTTAGCCCTTGACCCACTGTCTCCTCCGGGTCAACGCTCGGTCCGGTTTTCAAAACATTGCTTTCTACATGCCGCCACTCTTCTTTTTATTTGCCGAGTGTTTACAGAGTATTTTTCAATCAAAGTGTATAAAATTTTATCATTAATTTTTGTTTAACTGAATTCCAAATTTAATTTAGTTTGACTTACTTAATTAAACTAGACGAATACATTAAGATCGAGGTATTATTTAACTTGTTTCTAAATTTAGTTATTAACATTTTCTTTCATGTTAGAACATGTTACCTCATGTACATTATCTTTTACAACCTTATATCAACTAACCACAATGTCATAAAGACTTTTGACACAAGAAACTAGCATGTAGATTTTTGAGGGTTTTATCTTGGAGAAATTAAAAACAAGTGAAAAATTTATTTTGGGGTGGATACAATTCTTTGTTCCAATGGAGACCAGAATAATCAATGCAAAACTAGGATTATGCTAGTATATTTCAACAATAATACTACTTGTACACCACATCTATACACTATTTTATACACTAAAGCGTTGCATTAGCATAAAATACCAGTGCAAAACTGCTCATCAAAAAAAGTTTTGTTCTTTCATGTGCGTGACACGAGAGATTTTTAAATACAACCATCCTCTTTTTAAATGTTTATTGAAACATCAATGAAATTCAAAATAGAGAACTTTGATACGGAGTATATCTCAAATTTAAGAGATCAATGAAAGAGTTTGATATCACTCTGAACCGTGAATCACCGCACCACCAACTCGACTCCTGCTATCACTCACAACCACCTCGTTACCGCCCACTTCCATCTATTATCATTTAAATCGTGATTTCACGTCTCTCTATAGAATTTCATTTTAAATTACAAAACACATATAGGCCGTGTTTGGAAAACAGCATTTCAGATAGCTTTTGGCATCTTTGACTGACTTTGGCTTTTTTGACCAAGCGAACCGCCAAAACCATTGTTTGGCTAGTGAATTTTTCACTTGGCATTTTTATCCGAAAAGCCAAAATCTGAAATTCCAAGGGGAGTAACATTTGGACTTGGCGGTTACGAAAAATAATTTTTTTAAAATCATTTTTGTTGAAAGATATTTTATAATATATGTAAAAAATAAAAATAAAAATAAAAGCTAAAAATATTAAATACTAAAAAAATAAAATTTAAAATTTAAAAATTTCAAAAAATGAAATGAGAAAATAAAAAGCAAAAATCATCAAAAAAAATTTATATTAATACTCCATCCGTTCCACTGTCTTTGTCCACTTACCTTTTGGCACATCATCCAATGCACTTCTTTAATCCATTTTATCTTGTAATTTGTATATTAAAAATTATAGAAATTATATATTAATAATCTATATGTTAAGACGAATTAAACAAGATCACACATGACTATTTTTAGGCTTACACATTTAGAGAATTTGATGAGTCAAAGTGCTTAAATGAACAGTTTCAAAAGTCAAAAGTGGACAAAGACAGTGGGACGGAGGTAGTAATTTATTATGAAATAAATGAAATTAAAATTTAATACTCCATATAGTAAAGATTTAATTTTTACATGTAAAAAAATGAAAAATAAATATCGTGTGTGTGTCTATATATATATATAGGAAAAACTATTTTCAAACAGCTAATTTTTCCAAATATTTTTAACGATCAGCCAATTCATTCTGCCAGTCAAACCAACTAAACTAAACAGTCATTCACAACAGCTGACACAAACTACCAACAGCCAACGGCTGACGGCCAACATCCAAAATTTCAAATTTCATATCATACCACGCACCTTAAAAAATTTTTAAACGGGCCTTAAGTCTCCACTTTCATCAAGCCCAAATTTGCTTATCCTTCGGAATTATTTATTCTTATGACGCAATTTCCCCAAGCTTTGTTCTGATTTCAATTCGATCATTCACGGTTTATCAATATACAAACCCTCAGGTGTACTCTCTCTCTTTCTCTCCAGTTTTCGCTGCAACCTGATCAGATTCTCTGAGAACGAAAATCATATCTTGTTTCAAATATCTGGATATGAGAGGCTATTAGACGATGTTCATATCATTGATGAATTTTTAGACGCTCAAATATCCGAATCGGAAACACTTTTCAACAGATCTTCAATTGTAATTGTTTTTTTCGCAGCTGTGTATGTAACTCCGCTATACATAACGTATTTTCGCGTTGTGGATGAGTATTTGCTTTGTTGTACATATTTTTTCTTTCAATTTTGTGATTATATAGATATAGATTTTTTTTACAATATATTTGGCCTTATATTCAAATTTGTGATAGTTTTTTTAATTGTCTATTTTAGGTGTATATATTACAATAAAATGTCTATTTTAATTTTTGATGTTATTGTCAGTTCTTTGTATTGCTTAGGCAAAACAGAATCTTATGCATAGTTGTTGGTTTGATCAAAGTGATCAATTTAACTTCAATTTAAAGAGTGAAAGCATGAGTTTTTTCGGCCTATTTCCCCTGTACATTTGTATTGAAAATAACTTCTTCTCTGAGTACTCTGCGAACTACGGTGTACGTTATTGTACTCTGTATATAGTTGATATGTGAAGCACATTTTTACGATCACGATAGTTTAATGTTATACCTCTTCGTCACATAGAAATAGTCGTGCTTCTAGAGATATTTTTGCCTCCCAAAGCTCTATTTAATCAAATGAAGATACTTTTCAAGAAATTTGCCAAAATAGGATCAATAACTAACAAATATGATTAATTTAGTTAAACTATCATTTATGCTAAGGCGGGCACTGGTGGCTCACAATAGTTAAAGGCGCGACTAGTTATGAGAACCTTGACTGACTGCAATGATACTTCTTACTTATTAGGCACAATCTTGGACATTGTGTGCTTCCAATGGCGTCCTTGCAAGAAAGTCTGAATAGGTTTAACAAGCAGCAGGAGAAGTGCCAGTCAACCCTTACCAGTATAGCAGCGGCTAGTAAAGCTGGATCCTCAAGGGCAACTCCTCCCAAGATGTCAGCATCATCAACTGCAAATATGAAGTCTCCTGCAACTGTAGTTAAATTCTCTAATGACACAGAAAGACTTCAGCATATAAACAGCATAAGGAAAGCTCCCGTTGGAGCTCAGATGAAACGTGTGATAGACTTGCTGCTGGACGTATGTCTCCTCCTTTCTTCTGTTGTTTCAACTTTCAAGTGTCTTTACTAATTTTATTATTGTGAACAGTTCTGGTTGCCTTATTACATTGACATATGGTGTCTGCTGCTAACCTTCTGGTGCACTTGTCATTTTTTACTCTGCTGATCTTCAAAATAATTTTATTCCACTCTTTTCATTCCTTGTTGGCATGAAGCACATCGAGGAAGGCGGATGGATGTGTGTGTGTGTAAATATGGATATTTATAAATTAGTTGCTGTAGTAATACCTCATAGGTGTTGTCAGGTGTGGTGGATGAATGGATACTAAGTGCACTAAAGAACCTGACGTTTTTTATATTTTGTGAATTGTGATTAGCTATTGATATAGCCCGTCATTAACCAAGCCAAAACTTTGACATTTTCATAAGTTTCTTTAAGAAAACATTTGATATTTGACATATTTTATAATTGGAAATTGGAATGTTATGCTCTTTGTGGGAGCCCAAGGTAGGCACAGAGCTATTCATTTCTGGGTATGGATCATATTGAGAATGCTAATACCTAATAGCTTAGACATTCAAAATCAATTAGGTAGTGTTTGGCAACTAGGATTTCATTTCAATTCCAAAATTTGAAATCTTGAATTTCAAATGACAAGGGGAGGCGCATGGATTTAAAATTAAGCTTTGTTATGAATGAGAAGAATTTCATTCAAATCCAAATTTTAAAATTTGTAAGTTTCCCAAACATGGAATTTGAGCCAAATCCGGATTTGAAATCCAAATTCATGTTCCCAAACATACCATTATAGTATTCATTTATGTGCTCCACAGTCTGCATTTCAATTAAGACATGCATATATCCTCTTCAGGGACAGAGAACCTAATTTGTTTCAGCTTTCATGTCTACAGACTAGGAAAGCTTATACAGTAGAACAAATAAATGAACAATGCCATGTTGATATGAATGCGAACAAGGCTGTATTTGACAGCTTGAGAAACAATCCTAAGGTCCATTATGACGGTAAACAATTCTCCTATAAGGTAATTCTACCCTTTTAGCTTCCAAATTTCAAGATCGACATGTGAATTTTCCAATTGTAACTGAAGTTTTTCTTATCTACAGTCCAAGCATGATGTTAAAAATAAAGACCAGTTATATCGTCTGATACGGAAATTTGTGGAGGGTATTGCTATCATTGATCTCAAGGATGCATACCCAACTGTGATGGAAGACCTGCAGGTGTGTGTTGTAAACTTGTAATTGTGTTTTACTTATTTCTTACTACGTATTATCTTGCATGGCACATGAAGTATTGGCATTCATTTCATAGCTTAATTTCTGAATGGATCAGAATTTGATCTCTTCTCTACTCTAACCGAACAAAGACTAAATTTGTGTCCATATACACCATAGTTTGGGATTCAAGCGATGTCGATGCATATGTATGGGGAGTTTTTTCCATACCAGAATTCAAATTGGAATGTATTTATACTATAAAGAAATGGTAAGGGCATCTCCTAGATATAGGTTATGGACTTTTTCAGATTCCGATGTTATGGGTAACTTCTTTTTTTCTTTGTATCTCTTAGGTTGTACTGTACTAGAATGCTGGACTTTCATGCCCTTGTATATTTGTCTCTCTCTCTGTAGTCTTTGAAGGCAGAAGGACATGTTTGGCTGCTATCAAACTTTGACTCTCAAGAGGACATTGCGTACCCCAACAAAGCTGACGTGCGGATCAAGGTAGACGATGATCTGAAACAGCTCTTCAGAGAAGTTGAACTGCCGCGTGACATGCTTGACATTGAAAAAGATCTCCAGAAGAACGGGATGAAGCCCGCTACTAATACCGCAGCGAGGAGGGCAAAGGCCCAAGTCCATGGCATTTCCTCAAAGCCCAAAACCAAGAAAAAGAAGCAAGAGATCAGCAAAAGGGCCAAGCTCACTAATACCCATATTCCGGAGCTCTTTGCCCAACTCAAATCCTCTGGTTCGTGATTCGGGCGGGCGGGCTTTATTGTTGTGGATTGAATCTAAGTCGTCGAGTCTTCGAGTTCATTTGTTTAAAAAAGCATTTTGGGCGACATTTTCAAAACAACAGTACCCATTGACTCTACAACTGGTCATCCATTTCAAGATTCAGATTGTGTATGGTGTTGATGTTTTACAAGTACATAGAATTGGATGGAATGCCAAATAGCTTCAGTTAATGGACACCCAGTAATATGGGTCTCTTTTCTTGTTTTTGTCATAAACTTGCTCTTTTATGTGAGTTGTTAGAGTAAGAATATTGTTCCTTGTGGAGGCAAATCACACCTTTTTCATTCCCATAAATTGGTCATAAAAGATGGGTGCCTTCTATTACAATATGGAAACTCAAATTATTGGTTGATCAATTATCTTTCCATTTCTATTTTTGGCATGTTTCTGTCTGTGAAAAGTCCTCCTTGCCCTTACAAATACTCCGTATTTTCAACTTCTCACCACCCATTTCATATCTGTAACTCCCCTACATCATCCTTCTTTTGCTTCTTCTTTCCACACTTCCACCCAATCAACTCACCAACTCTTCTTCTTCCTTTTTTTTCCTTCTCCTCAATATATGTCTGCCTGGTCAAACCGGGAAGATAAATAAAAGGAGGAGAGAGTAGTATTTTATTGTATCAAATAAGTAACGAGAAAAAGTTAAAAAAAATTGATAAGATTTGATCTCGTAAAGAAAATTTGAGAATTTTTTTTCCATTTCCAATATACAATTAATTGGATTGGAAATGTGGGGAGCAATTGGGTTGTTAATTATGGTGGCAGTGGCCACCAATTATGTGATCCAATATTTTCACAAACGGTACAACTACCATCCCAAGTGCAACGGCGGCGGCGCTCTGCCGCCGGGCTCCTTCGGCCTCCCACTCGTCGGAGAAACTCTCAGCCTGCTCGCCGCCAGCCATTCCTTGGACCTCCACCCATTCCTCTCCAAAAGATTTCAAAAGTAAGATAATTAATTCATTACCTACTCTCGGTAAACTATATAATGCATACGAGCAGTTTTTTTTTGAAAAAAACTTTCTCTTTTCTTTCTTTTTTTTCTTGTCCCACAAAATTCAAATTTTTAAAACTTTACAAACATAAAATTAAATAATTTCATTAATGGCTTTCAAAAAAATTATTAATGAGTTTAAAAAAAAAAGCAGATATGGGTTGGTTTTCAAGACGAGCATAGCAGGAAGGGCAACAATAGTAAGTGCCGATCCGGAGCTGAACCACCACCTGTTCCTGCAAGAAGGGCGGCGCGTGGAGCTATGGTACCTCGACACCTTCTCCAATCTCTTCGCGCAGGACGGCGAGAGGCGGACCAACGCCGCCGGCGAAGTCCACCGATACATCAGAGGCCTCACCTTGAACCACTTTGGCGCTGAATCCATTAGGGCTCGACTCCTCCCTCCGATGCAACAAACTGTACGCGCCGCACTCGACGCCTGGTGCGCCGCCCCCGGCTCCGTTGAGCTCAAACATTCTATTTCAATGGTAATTGCTACCTCCTTCCTATTCCTCCATAAATTTCGATAATCAATTCAACAAAAAATTCATTTGATATTAGTACAAAATCCTTTCATTAAATTTATCTTACAGAAATTTATCATAAATTTATTTCGTTGTATTAATATATAGTACAAATTTAGTCCAATTGAGAATTAAAATATGTCCAGTTTGATTTGAAAAAGTCAGAAACAGAGACCAACATTAGCATCATGAAATGTTACAACCATATATGGTTGTTTCATCTCAATGTTCAACCATTTTCATTAATCCATTACATTCGAGAAATGCTACAAGAAGAAGGAAACTTGATAATGTGTGCATTGTTGATGGGTGTTTGCAGATGGTTTTCAACTTCACCGCGAAAATAATGTTTGGGTATGAAGGTGAAAAGTCGCAGAAAATCCTTATAAGTGAGAGGTTCACACACTTTGTAAAGGCTATGGTTTCCTTTCCGGTGAACATACCCGGCACCACCTTCTATAAAGTTATGAAGGTATATAAGGATTGGCATTATTAGAGTATAAAAATTTTCTTCACTGAACAATTTATCCATTTTAGTTTTACAAATATTAGGAAAAGTGTTGATAAGACGTTTATATTCTACTAATATTAATGAGAAATGGAGGTTGCAGGAGAAGGAGAGGATTATGGATATGATCAGAGAGAGGGTGAGGGAAAAAGGAGGAGGGAACGGCGGTGGGGACTTGCTTGATCAGGCCCTACAAGACATGCGGGCCCCACATGCCGCCGCCTTCTTGAACGAGGACTTCATAGTTCAGGTGGTATTTTCAGGTTTATTTGCAAGTTTTGAGTCCAACTCTACCACCTTAACCCTGGCTCTTTATTTTCTCTCCCAAAATCCGGACGCTCTGGAGGAGCTTAGGGTAAGTACCATATGAAATGCCACGTTTCATTTCATTTTCGTTAGTAGATATTGTCGCTCGCAGACTTGATATATTCATCTCTTTTTTTTTCAAATTTTACTTTTTTAAGGGAGAATATAATGCATCAAGTTTGAGAGCAAGAACATTTTTTACGCGCATTATTGTTGCCCCTCTAATATAATTACTAAATTTCAGGCCGAACATGATTCGATCATAAACAAAAGAGAGAATCCAAATTCAAATATTACTTGGGATGAATTTAAATCCATGACATTTACACTTCAGGTCGACCTTTTTTATTTGCTACACTTTTATACATCTTCTTATGTTATACTCCATCATCTCATTTTTAAGTTGTGTGCTCATTATTTACGCGGTTAGCTTTTAATCACTCTCTTTACCTACTTTCCTTTGCCCAACACATTGTAAAAATGTTGTAAATAATTAGTTTGTATGTTATAATGTTGTAGGTGATCAATGAAACATTAAGGATCGCAAATACAGCTCCGGGACTGTTAAGAAGGGCCACAAAAGATATCAACTTCAATGGTAATTCATTCGTACGGTAACTATTTAAAAGTTATGCCACGATGCATATAAGTCAAACTAAAAGACTAAATTCAATCGATTGGTACTGACATTTAAAATTAGGGTACTCAATCCCCGCGGGTTGGACGATCATGATTGCTTCTTCTGCTCATCACCTAAACCCCAACACCTTCAAAGATCCTCTTGCTTTTAATCCATGGCGTTGGAAGGTGGATCTTAGACCTCATTCTACTCATCATTTTAATAACAATGTTTTCGTTATGTTTTATAACTTTGTGATGGAAAGTTAGTTTTCGTTAATATGAATGATTATGTGCCAAACAAACAGGGCCTTGATTCGAGTGCGGTGTGCAAGAATTTCATGCCGTTTGGGGGAGGGATGAGACAGTGCGCGGGAGCGGAGTTCAGCAGGGCTTTTATGTGTGCGTTTTTGCACGTTTTAGTGACCGAATATGAATGGAATTTGGCCAACGATACTTCAAACATTTCTCGAATGCCTTTCTTGAGTTTTGGAGATGGTGTGCACATTAACATTCATCACCAAAACAAAAAATAGTAGTAATATTTGTTGAGGGGAATAAAGTATTGTACAAAAAGAGTTTGATCTGGTGAACTTTGTATTCTCATGAATTGCAACTACAATAATTTATCGAATTGTTTTAATTTTTTTAAAAAAATTAGTGCATGACGACGTTTGTGTTTTGTTTGTTTCCAAAGAAATAGAGAAGTGAGAAAAATCATGAAACTAATACCCCCTTCCCAATTTAAGGTTCTTGTTCGGTTTACGATATTTGATTGAAATTAATTTTAAACCAATATAAGTAAAAATTGACGTGGAATTAAAAAAATAAAGTATATTCCATTAAAAAGTTACATCAGATAAAAAACCATAGACCTTCCAAATAGGCGAATGCTCTCTTCGTCCCAAATAAAATTTACTCTTCACTATTTAAAAGTCACAAAAACTTTTATTTATTTGTGCGTTTTGATTGAAAATTTACTTTATATCAATCTTTAAATAAAATAAATTTAAAGAATATGAAAATTTACTTTATTTTGCGTAAAGTGAAAAATAAAATTAAGATGGAGGGAGTATCATATTACTCGTATGAGTTTGTGACATTAGTGGCCAATATTAAAAGATCACTACTTTTAATCTCTCATAATTTTCTCCCACACAAATGACACAATTCTCTCCTTCCCACTTAATGAAAAATATGTAAAATGAAGTGGGCTTTTCCAAAAGTATCCTTCAAATGAAATAACCATGACGGATATTATCAAAAAGCAAAAAAAACAAACCAAATTCTAAACATAAATGCCAAATTTACAACATATAACTAACCATCTCATGTTTTACACTCAGTACTAATAAGATCATCTGACTCACATGAAGAAGAGCTATGATTGTAATCTTCTTCATCTTCCTCATCATGATCATCATCATCTTCTTCATCTTCATCAGAAACATCATCGTATTCATTCCCATGACTGGAGATTCTGTCAACGATCGTCCCATTTATATTTCCCACGAGCTCGTCAGCTTCTGTCTTCTCTTCTGTTGTTTTAGCAAGAGACAAGAGAACATTCTTTGCCTTACGATCGGGTGGAACGCCACATGTCACCATCTCATTGTACCATGAAACAGCGCTCCCGAAATCCCTGTTCCTACCATATGCATCCATTATCGTAGTAAGGACCGTTTGGTTGGGGTGAATGCCAGAAAGTCGCATTTCGTCATACTTCTTCATCATCTTCTCAAGATCGTTCGTCTTTGCATACCCTTTGATGAGAGTCCCATATGTGACAACACTCGGTTCAAATCCGTCTTGTTTTATTCTTCTAAAGAATCTCTCAGCTCCTTCCATGTCTGAAGCGTTTACATATGTTGTGAGCATGGTTGTGTAGGAGCACAGGTCAGGGGCAAATCTGGGCATAAAAATTGAAATCAGCGTAAAATCAGTTAAAAAAAGAAGGATAAATAAAATAATTTGGTTGGTAAGAAAAAGTCACCCGTCTCTTCGCATGCTTTTGAAAACAATCCGAGCTTGTTCCACCATTCCTGAGATTGCAAATGCATCTAGTAAGATGTTATAAGCTTTCTGTGTCGGCCTGAGAAGGTAAACAATAACAACAACAAACCCAGTAAGATCCTACAGAAGTATGGTCCGAGGAAGGTAAACATATTTTTTTCATTATTGACAAATAAGCCAAACTCATAACAGATGTCCGGGAAAAAAAATTATTATATAGTCTCTCCATTGTAAAAAATAGGGTAAAAAACTTTTTACCTCACGCCAGCATCAAGCATTTCCTCAAAAACCGATAATGCTTCTTCTTCTCTTCTAGCCTTTCCATATGCATTAATCAGCAGGGCATAGCTTACAACATCAGGATGAAGACCAGCTCTCTGCATCTGAAACCACATATATTTCCTTAACAACATCCTAGCATAATCGTTGTGTAGTAAATAACCGATATTTAATGGAAGCAAGAAAATAAAAAAAATAAAATAAAAACACCTGATCATAGATTTTGGAAACCTCCTTATAGTTGGCGTCGAATGACATCAAGCTATTATAAGTGACTGTATTTTGTGGGACCCCTCGCTCAGTCATTAGCGCAAAAAGGTGATGAGCTTTCTTATAGTCCTTTGCCTTCTTGTACATGTAGATCATCATATGGAACATTTTCTGGTCTGGTTTCAGCGGAGAAACATCCGTGTTTAGGAGAGTTTCAAAGACTTCTTCTGCTTCTTTATACTTGTCACCCTGAAACAATCTCATATCTATACTAGAGACCACATATAATCTGACATTCTGACAACATACATTTTCCTAACACTATTTTTGGTTTGAGGAATTAAGAAAGAAAGGAAAGGAAAACTTTTTCTCTCCTTTTCCTCACCAAGTTGGAAGGATATTTGTTAAAGAGAAAATAAAGGATAAACACAAGTAGTGTGAGATTTAAGGCTAAACACTGAAGTTGTTGCCAAACGGGGAATAAATAGTTACCTCAACAAAGGTTTTAAGGATAATTTGATATGTTAATGCAGAAGGTTCGGGGCCCGCAGATTGCATTCTTCGAAATATTGCTTCAGCTTTACTGCATTGACCTCCACGTCCGTATGCTTCCATTAGAGCAGTGTGAGATATCACGCTTTGCGGGTATCCCATCTTATTCATGTAGCCCATTACCCTTTCAGCTTTATTGAAGTCCCCTTGTTTCCCATAAGCCGTGATCAGCATTAGAAAGTCCATTTCATTAAAGTCCCACCAATGTTGAGTTTGAAGCCATTCAAGGATCTAAAAGAAGATTTTTATCTTGGTAAATATGAGTTTAAACATGACCACAACAAACACACATGAGTTTAGCTCTCCAACAATTGGATCTGTTTACGTGTATAATAATCACACACCATATTGTAGCTTTATTTTATGCATAATATTTACATGAAATTGGAAACATGAAATTATGCTCTAGGGCTAAGAAGTTCAATCAAAAAACACATGTCAAAAGCTCCTTCAATTTTTTTTTCTGATAATAAAACAGAAAATTGTGAGGCAAATGGAAAGGGAAAAATACTTGAGGAGAAAATAAATGATAGACTCATTTTCCTTAGCACTTTCCAAGGTAAACCAAACATAAGAAACTTTTCTTAGCACTTTTTTCTTTTTCCCTAGTATTTTCTGGTATCCAAATGGAACCTAAAAGAGTTCTATCATGAAAACTTGAACAAGAGGGGCACTACCACACTGTAGTTTATATGAACTTATAAACACTCCTTTTGGAATTGATTCAACATGATAAGACATGCATGTAAAATTATTCTGATTTCTAACTGAACCCCATTGTAAAGAGAAGAATGGCACAAATTATTATAAATCAAGCATGAACAAAAACAAGCCCAAAAAAATCCCACAAAAAGGTTATATTTAACCAGTAAAATACCACAAATTATTAGATTCTCCAGAATCGGACTACCAGAATCTCCTCTTGGACAACAAAACATCTATCTTATGCAGGGAGATGTAAGCTCATTAATTCTGTTCTTTTTGGGGGTAATATCATTCTGGTGTAGACTTTTTATTATTCCAAATAAAGTCATGAAGAATATCCAAGCTATGTGTAAGAACTTCTTATAGGGATCTTTCCCTTATGAGTTAGGAGGAGGTTTGCTTACCAATAAATTATGGTGGATTAGAGCTGAAAAATCTTGTTAATTGGAATAAAGCATGTAACATTAATCTGTTATGGGATGTGAAGATGAAGAAAGACGTGTTATGGGTGAAACGGATCCGCAATAGGTATCTCAAGATTCAAGAAGAACACAATCGGGGAGATAAGTCCTAGACCAGACACTTGCTATTACTGGAGGCTTAGTAGGTACCTGCAGATTGATAAGTGTTGTGTTCTCTGTAAGAATGCAGATCAAGACAACAACCACTTGTTTTACAATTTCCCTTTTGCTAGAGCTATTCATGAAGAAATATTTAATTGGTTGGGGTATTACTGGGCAGCAAACAACTTCAAGGTGGCAGAAGCTGGTTTCCTGGGTGTTAAAGACAAAAGAAGAAGGCATATTTTGATTGCATTGTTTGCTACAAACTGCAATGTCATATGGAAGAACTGAAATGATGAAATTCACAACCGGAAGCTTAATGTAGAGGACAACATTCGATGTAGTATGTGGTTGTTTCTTTGTGCTTCTAAGTTGGTCAAAATTACTTATAAGTTGTTTTTAACTTATAAGTTAGCTGATAGCGTGTTTCTCTGTGCTTATAAGCTGACTTATAAGCTTCTTATAGGTATTAAAAATATAAATAGGTCTTACCTACTTATTTTAAGTCAGTTTTTTCATTTCTAGGGTTTGACCAGATTATTTACAAAACACCCCTCACCTTTTATGAATGTTCGCAGATGAGTTATCTCTCATTTAAGTCATTTTACTTCCGCGAAAGAACATTTATATGGGGAGGGTGTGTACGCATACATTACCCCTACTTAGAAGTAGATAAAAAATAAAGCATGAACATCAATTAAATCTGCATACCTCACTAACAAGATTCCACTTCTTGAGCTGCTTGAATCTAACCAACGTCCCAAGAACAACATCCCTACGGAGCCACTGATTCTTGGCTCTATGGCTTCTAAGCACAGAGACAGGCGAACCCGTTTCCTCGATTTCGGCCATTAGTTTCCTCCACTTCTTCTGCTCCAACTCATCCTCAGCATCTTTGTACACCTCCTCCACCTTCTTCCTCCTCCTCCTCTGCATGAACTTCCTAGGTGCCAACATTCCCCGACACACCACCTCCCCTCTTCTGTGTAGCTTCACCACTTTTGTATCCACGAAATCCCCATTCGTGCTAAATTTACTGCATTGACAACAACAACTCTATAAAACACTGCCTGACCAACTCTATCGTCTTGGGTTAGGGTATGTTTGGATACCATAAAATGCTAGATAAATGGGGGGAAAATGATAATGAAAGTTATTTTCTTGTGCTATGTTTTTAACCCAAAGAGCAAGGGGTCTCCTCAAAACAGTTTCTCTACTTCCAAGTAGTGTAAGTTCTACATACACTCACCCCCAAATCCTATTTTTGTGGGATTTTACTAGGTTGTTGTTGTTGTATGTTTTTAACTCAAAATTTGTTGTTTTTAACTCAAGATTTGCCAAGGAAAATGAAATTTCATTGATGTTGTCAAATTTTCAAAACAATTTCATAGTCTTTATATAATCAAAACAAACAAATAAATAAACAAAATGGGTTAGAGCAAATATCGAAAATGAATTTATGCACTCTAATAACACAAGCCCACATCCAGAACAAACTGTGAATGCAACCAAGAACAGCCATTTGATGCTTAAAGTGCATCATAACATTAAAAAATGCAGACTTTATGTGAAATTGTTAGAAAGACAAACAAAAAAACATAAAATCGAGCAAGAAATTGAAGGAAAGTGGCTTGGAGGGAAAGAGCAAACCTGAAGAGAGAAGAAGAAGAAGATAATGATGATGATGTCGGGGGAGAGATGAATGGTTTTAGGAGAAGCAGTGCTTTAGCCATTTCCAAATTTGTTCTAGCAGTTCCTCCAGTTTACTGGAGAGTGGAGAAGCCCAGGACGGGAGGGGGATTTGCCTATTTTATCCGGTAAATAAATTATGGAGAAAGGGGCTTTCATATCCGTTTATTCTGAAATAGCCACAATACTTTTCATACAATTGCTTATTCTTAAACTATCTCCATCTTGTTTTCAATCAAATTTGATGAAGTTTAATTAGGGGTAGGCGCAAAATCCGTTCCCGTTGTACCATTTCGAAAGATCCTGGATCCATTTTGTAATTGTATCGAAATATTGGGACACATTTTTTTATTCCGAACCCGTTCCGTCCCAATATCAAATGGAACATGAGCGGGACACCTTAAATTTATACCGATTCGTCCCATTTGTCCCGTTTCATCTACTCTACTAATATATAATACTAATTCTAGTCCAAAATCCAAATACATTCATTCTTTATTTAATTATTTAATTAAGTTAATTTCATAGACTTAAAATTTATTTGGACTCGTTCTACTCATTGTTTTAGTTGGATGACTAGATGTTTCTTTTTTTGGATGAAATGTCACCCTCTCCCCCTTTTTATATTTGCGATTAGGACAAAATAGGACGACCCGAATCCGTCCTGGTTTATACTGATCCCAAATTTAATGGGACAAACTGGAATAAGATTGTAATCTGAACCGTTCCGGACCGTTATATATAACAGGACAAGACGTGGGACAATCTAAAATCTGGACCGTCTCGATTCGTGCCCACCCCTAAGTTTAATCATCAATAAATATGGTTTCTTTTTCTTCTTTTTTTTGCAAAAGAAGTCTAGGAACACTATTGAATTTATTATCAAATTTGCCAAATTTTAAAAAAATGTTAAAATAAACGAATACATTAAGGCAGAAATAATTTGATACATGATGATTGCGTAGATTGAATTTATGGCCTTATAACATGAGCTAGCGATAGTCATGCACCACGTGTGCTCAAAGGCATCATGTCTCATTAAAAAAAGACTACACTTTTTTTGTGTCCTAAACATGGTTTTTTTGTAACCAAGAATTTGTGTTATTCATATTTCATAATTTGTATTTGGTTTGATAATATAGCCATTTGATTTTATTCTGATCCCACCTTAGCTATCCTAGACGTTCACAATATTTTGTTTGAATTAGAGACCTTATATTAACATATCGAGGGTATTGCACTGTGCATATAAGTCAATCAAAATTGTTTTTAAGTTGTTTTAAATTTATAAGTCCGCAAATGACGTATTTCTCTGTATTTATAAGCTGGCTTATAAACTACTTATAAACATGGAAAATATAAGCAAGTCTTACTTATTTTTAAGCCAGTTTTTTTTCATTTTTTCATTTTAACCAAATTACTTACAAAAATATCTTTCACCTACTAAGAATATTCTCAAATGACTTATGTATCATTTAAGTCATTTAATCCACACGAAAAAATTTTAAATTCATAAACAACTTATTAGTTAAAAACTACATATAAGCAATAACTCAATAAGCACAAATACAAAGAAATCCCCACATTGTCTATGTTTTTATATGTAAAATTTAAAGAAAAGATCTAGAGCTCACTCGCTTGAGCTGTGGTAGTATAGTTAAAACAAGGGTTGGGAAAACATATTTGTAGGTGTATCAAATGAGTGCATCTTATCATCTTACAATGCCCATTCCCACATCAATCAAATCAAAAATGCTAAGAATACACCAAACATAGGCATAATGTTTGTTCAGATTCATTAAACTTTTAATGTATTCAGAGAGTCATTCATGTCAAAATCCACAATAATTATATCCATATAAAGTGTTTCAATCCACAATAACTGTCTTCATTATCCAGCACTCATAAATAACAGCAGAATCTAAAACACAGGAACTGGGAGTGCTTTGATCATATTCACTACTACTGTGTGAGAGTTCCCCTACAGACAGAAGTTGTTCACAAAACAGTCCCCAGGTTGTTGTTTTAGATGCGGGAGATGAGGAGGGGAACAGAGACAGGGGTGTCCTCACCCATGACTGGTTGGAACAGATCCAACTCCCCGTACCGTTCCAGCACGCGCATCCTGCAGTCTTCCGCTGCCATTAATCCGGTGGAGTACGCGCCGTGTACGGACCCCGGGTAGTCGATGCTCGTGGCCTCTCCCGCGAAAAACAGGTTGTCCACTGGGACTCTGAGCCTTTCGTACAAGTCATGGGATTTCCCCACTGTGTCGTAGCTGTATGATCCCAGCGAGTTCACATCCGTCCCCCAGTGGGAAACAAGATACTGAATCTGCACACAAAACGATCCCCAGAAAGTATATTTCAATCTCAGCTTTCGAAAACATCATGTTTGGTAAGAGGAATTTGAAAGGGAAAAGAAAATGAAATGAAATGGAGAACTATTTTCTTGTTTTTTTAGAGGAAAAGAAAAGAAAATTAAAAAGAAAAGAAAATGAGAATGCAAAATGAACTAGGAGGAAAATGAGAAAAAATCATTTTCTTTTCTTTTCCTTCCAAATTCCTTGAACCAAACATAGGGTTAAGAAAAAAGTTGTGGTTCATAATTTCTACGCAAATCTCAACCATATAATTCCACTTTTTCTTAAACTTTGTGTGAAGTAAAACCCAAGAAGATTAAATGGTGGCAAAGGTAGCTTGTAGGAAGAGATAATATGAACAACTGTTTTGGGAAAAATATATTTGGTTAAACAGACAATTATTTCGGGCACAATAACATTTTTTTTAATATATAATAAAAGCACAAAAACTCACCGGTTCAGATGCATTGGGAAGTATCCTTTTGAGTTGAGTGAAAGCTAACTTAGCAGCATCCTCATCAGACATCTTCTCAATGTCGCGAGCCAATTGCCCTGCAGGCATATAAACAAGGACAGGATGCCCTGTGGCCTTGTGGAGGTTAAGAAAGTAACTACACTCATAAGTAGTCTCAGCCACAACACCCAAGAACTCAACGTTAGGCCAAAATATATCTCCGAAGTGGAGGGCTATCTTGTTCTCAATTCCTATACCAAGCTCCTTAATGGCAACTTCCTTCCAGTCCGGCAATTTGGGCTCAAATGTGATACGGTTCAATTTCAACACCCCAAGTGGAACAGCCACAACTGCAGCATCAGCTAAAAAGGTTCTCCCATCCTCAACTGTTACCTTCACTCCATTATAACGCCTCACGACTTTTTCAACTCTGACATAGCGAAATTTAAATTTAAAAAAAAATCAATAAACTAGCACGCGTGCACAAGGTGTATAACCCAAAAAAGGGAGATTTTAGTGATAAACCACTAACCTATGCCCTAAGCGGATATCTAGACCTTTTGCAAGTGTATTTATCACAGGACGATAACCCCTCACCATAAGACCATGGCCTCCCGGAAGTAATTCTTCCTGCGTAGATCACAAACATTGATGGAAAAAAGGAATAGAAAGGAACAGATATTTTCATAAACAAATATCGACCCAAACAAAGGCTGAGAGCAGAAGCAAAGTTGAACAATGAGACTAACCTTATCCCAACATTTAAGTGATATGGTATCAGCATCAGCAGCAAACCAACCTTCCATTCTACAGAGATACCACTGTAACACCTTATTACCAAGTCCATCCATCCTGTAAACGAAACCCCATGTGTAAAGAACACCTGAATTAAGAAAAGAGGGCACAATGACAAACTAGTGATGAAAATAGTTAGAACCTTAAATCTGGCCTTCTCTCGAACACCAAAGAAATTGCACGCTTCATAGATATGTCTTCACTAAATTCCTGCCTGATTTTTTCTGTCTGCGAAAACAGAGGAAACAACAATAGAAGGTTATTGTCCTGGTCTAAAAGAGAATGAAAACAATTTTCATATATCTTCTCTGTTTGGTATTTCTATTTAGAGAATGCCAACAAGAAAGATAGAGCTGTAGAACATACCTCTTTCAGAATGCTCTCAAAGGTTACTCCAACATTTGAAACCAACTCCTGGGGAACTTTGTTCCCATTCATGTCAAAGAGTGCATAGCTATTTGAAGAAAAAAACAAAATAAGATTTTTTGAAAAACATGTAAACATTAAAAAAGGAATATCAGGCAACACTCAACACTAAGCATATCAAATGATAAAAAATCAGGAATTGCAAACCTTTCCAAATCATGGTCATATAAGACTGAATTATCCCCACTGGTGCGATACAAAGGTAGCCCAAGTCTTCCAATAACATGTGCAAGAGGATTCTCATCGCAGACCCCATGTAACCTGAGAGAGAGAGATTATCAGTGCAAGAGATTATCAGTATACACCTTAATCTGGGAATCCTCATTAAGTATTGATATGTTCTACTAGCAAGCAGGCTAAACGTAATAAAGAGTAAAGAGTGTAACTACCATGATGCCCCCAAGTCAACAGGAAAACCAAACGAGTAATTTGTGTGTGCACGGCCACCAATTCTATTTCTTGATTCCAACACTACAACCTAAAAGAGAACAATACCGTTAGAATGCATCATTCAAAACATTTTACTAGAAAATAAAGTGTTTCATAAACATACTCTAGGTCCTACCTTGAATGAAGCATCAGAAAGAGCTCGGGCAGCTGCAAGTCCTGCAAAGCCGGCACCAATCACTATGACAGACGGAGAAGCCGAAAGCCTCCTCTCAGGAGTCTCATCACTTGAATAGCCTATAGAAGATGCAAATTTAGTTAAATACAATCAATCGCCACATAATGATGAACAATAACAATGTGTGGAGTAACTCATAACAATCTTTTCCTTATGGCTATAACAACCAAGCAATAACGCGCACAAAGAGGAGAGAAACAAAAAGCCACTATTTGTCTACTTTAAAGGTAGGTCTGAACCACTACCAAAACGAAGACAAAAATTGCTTTGAAGTTGACAATAATGGCAAAATTGCCATCTTTATTAGTCCAAAAGGGCAATAGCCTGATTGAATGATTATTGGTATCCCATAATTTCAGCATTTAAACAGGGATTAAAGAATACACCATAAGTCAAAGCCAGTATGCTGCAAAGGTTTAAAATACACTCCACATTTTCATACCACACAATTACCCAAACCAATAAAAATAAAGTCATACAGCATCACATAAAGGTATACA